AACTGTTTATGAGTACTGTATATATTTGTCTCTTTGTGTGAGGTTAGATTTTATCACTGCACATAACTATTAATGATAAATTGCAGTGGTTTGTGGTCTTCCCAGTTTGAAAACACACAGTTATGGTGTTGAAAGTTTAAAAAAGACAAACAAAAAAAAACAAATGTAGAGTCATAACTGTAACCGTAATAATCAACGTTCTTTTTTTATTAATATGTTCTGTTCTTATTTTTTTTTATTTTAAATAGTTTTGGAAATATTTTATTCTGACGGTTTTCATAGTCTAAGTTCAGATTTCTTTTTGGATCCGTGTGACCGATTGTCACACGGATCAGATCAGATTGGGGGGGAAAAAAAGCTATTATAATGTTAAAAATTAGTTATGAGCAAAAGTAATTGGAAACTGTAGTTCCATCCATCCATCCATTTTCTGAACACCCTTGTCCCTCAGTGGGGTCGGGAGGGGTGCTGGTGCCTATCTCCAGCTAACATTCCAGGCGAGAGGCGGGGTACACCCTGGACAGGTCGCCAGTCTGTCGCAGGGAAACTGTAGTTTTGTTTCTTAATTAACATGTTTTAGTGTAGCTCCTGTTTTCTCTTTAGTGTCCCTAATGTTTTGGAGGAGAACTGCAGTGAGTCAAGAAAAGGCAGCATCTCTCCAATGTCAGTCAAATGTCACATTAAGACGAAGGTGCTGGCTAAATCTCTTCCTCACTGTTCTTTCCCTTTCACACATCTGCCGTTTTCATTTTTTTTTTTTTTTTTTAAAGCTTCTAATAATAATCCTCACATTTTCTGTTTTTCCCCTTTTCCTCTTCCCCTCTCCTTTCCGCCTTCATCCAGTGGGCTAAAAACCCAATTTATTTCTGTAGCACAGGAGAGGCTTGTAAGAGTCCCACGGGGGGTTTGCTGTTGTGTTGTCAAGGTAACACACTGTCAGGGACGTGGCCTCCCGAGCCAGTCCAAAGGGGTATTTTTGAATGTATTCACTAATTGAAAAAGTAGGAAGGCAGAACTGAAAGCAGAGGCGACAGAGAGAGAGATGGAGAGAAAAAAGAATAACTTAAAAGGAAAGTTGAAAATGGATCAAGAGATGGTAGAGAGAGGAGAAAAAAAACAGAATAAGTGAAAAGGTGAGGCTGCAAATACCTCTGCACAGATGGCGTCCCCTGCTTGTCAAGTTCGGGGGGGGGAGAGAGGAATGACATGCACATATAGAGCATCTGTCATTCAGCTCGGTCAAGTGGGCCCGATTGGCTGTCGGCGGTTTCTAATGGTAACAGTCTCCATACCCCTCCTCCTGTACAGCTATGTGAGTGTGTGTGTGCGTGTGTGTGTGTGGGGGAGGCAGAGCACCTTAGCCCCGTTTGTTGATCTCCAATTGAAGCTCCATCAGGCTTCTCCTATAATTACAGACGCCTCACCATTCCTGCTTTTCAACCTTCCAGACTCAAAGTTTCTGTCTGTGCCCGCTAAATAAGACAGCCGGGGAAGCAAATGAAGGAGAAAAGTTGGGGAAATGACTTGCATCCAGTTTTCCGTTTCTGTTGCGGTGACTGACAGGTGTCGCAGGTGTGGCGTCAGATGTGTAGTCAGGATACTGAGGGGAATTGGGATGCTAAGGTTTCCCCACAGGGAGGAGCAGGCAAGGCTTGACAGCAGTCTGAGATGCGCTGTCATATTTGTCGATGGGTTTTGGCATCAGAGAGACTTTTTGTTGTTGTTGTTGTGTATGTGTGCACAGCAGTTGGCTGTGCTTTAGATGTGCAGCACATAGGTGGAACATAGGGCAGCGTTGCATTAAGTTTGCGTGACATGCCCAACAACAATCAAGGAAATTTAGCGGCTTTTGTGCATTTGTAATCCTGGAAACAAAAACTGGCTGTAGCCTGTGAAAGAGTTGAGATTTACCTTCCGTCAGGACAACAAACATTAAAGCTGCAACTTTATTTTTTATGTTACAAAAATATGTATTTTACATATTTGTTAAAACTTTCACCACGTCTCCTCAATCTCCTCCCTGAGCTCCTGTTACCAACTGAAGAAATGCACCGCTCCTGGTCAAAAACAGCCAATCAGAGCCAGGAGGAGAGTCTTAATGCTGTCAATCACCCTTGTGAATGAGCTGCCAGATATAAACCATTCATCCACCGTTATCTGTGGCAATGCTAACTAGCTTTAGCATTCATGACAGGCTCAGCAGACAGCAAGGGGGAAAGGGTGGAGCAGCATGATTGGGACAAGGCAGAGGAGCTCAATTTATTTTTCACGGATTATCTGTCGCGACATGGTGGCAGTTTAAACAAATACGTAAAAAAAACATTTTTTCTAAAACTGACACACTGCAGCATTTATAAACATACAGCCAGATCTGCAGTGAAATGGTTTAAAATAAAACATATTGATGTCTTTTAATGGTCCTAAACCCAGTTGAGAATCTTTGGTAAAACTTAAAAATTGAATTTGATCCCATGATCACATTGAGAACAGGCAAACATTTCAGTTTCTCCAATGGGTAATACTGGTTAAGACATAGCTATAAGAGCCATTATTGGAGGCAACAGCATTTTCTCAAGGGACAAACTGAACTGAGTCTGATGGCATTCTTCCTGCAGACCTAAGAGTGACTCGGGCGGCAGCTTTCAGCTTTCCACTGCCCGCCTCTGGATGAAAAAGAGAGAGGAGGAAAAGAGACAGCGCCGTGACTCATTCACATTATCCTCTGAAGTGGAAACCCTTCAAACGTGTCGCCCTCGCACATACAGAAACGGGCACTCAGTCGTACACTGGCATGCACATGGCACGTGTGCAACGGGAGCCCGGGAGCCCATTGGGAGTGTGTGATGTGCTTTGAGCAGTGGCTCACTTTGAAACGTCAGATTCCCGCTTAAAAGGAGAAAGTGGGCAAACTCCAACAGGGCAATTAGCCCCGTGTCTCAAAACAAGTTCTCTCCGTTGCCTGGGTGTTCACAATCCCCCGAACAAGGTTAGAAGTAGTTGAACATTTTTAGGCTAATTTCCTGTAAAGAAATCACAAAGCATCTAATGCTGATGTTTAAATGCTACTAGTCCCCTGAGACGGGGGCGCTTGTAGGATCTTATCGAGTGGTACGTACAAAACAACAACTCACCTGAAACCACAAGAGCACAATCACAACCTTTGCACACATAAGTGTGGCGGACAAAACCAGCAGAAACCACACAAATACAGACCACATATAAAAATGGTAGAAATGGAAACTTTGCACCGGATACCTAACGGTGATTTCCTGATCCACACAATATGTCACGTACACAATGCGCCCACAAAAACAGCTGCTCTGATCCACGCAAGGTTCAACATGCACAATGTGACTCACACACACACCTATGCCTGCATAGACTACTTTTTTACACATTACACTGAACAATGTAGTCAGGAAAGCAGATTCCCAGGCTCAGGTTGTGTGTGTGTGTATGTGAGACATCATCATTTCTACTCTTTTTAACAAACGTTTTGACTGGTTAAAATCGGCTTGTTCATTTATAGCCACCCTTACCACATCGTCATGTTAAGCTTACAGAAAGAGCTTCTAGAGCTGCCAAGTAAACAAACGTAATCAATAAAATTTAGATTTACGACGCACAAGTTAACAACCCCACAACAGAAACACACGTACAGGATGTTTTGACAATACAGACCATTTTTATTTTTTCTCATCATAGTGTTGATAGGAAAGGAATAAATAATTAAAAGTCCAATACGTTCCTGTTTGGAAGAACCTCATTTCTATGTCAAACCAAAACCGTTAAGAGGTTTTTACTCTGGTCATTTGGTTGTCTGTCCCGGTGTGTCGGACACAACATAAATTGCCGACCAATCAGTGAGATCAAAGAGGACAATCCTTCTTCTGATAAGGACAGAGCTAGTTCACTGGTGTTGTAGGCTTCATATTGTTGGAACTTGTTGTGCATCCCATTACTTCAGGCATAAAGCAGAAAGAACATACCTACAGTTATACATGGTGGTGGAAGTGTGACAATCTGAGGCTGCCTTTAGTCATAAATGGCTTGTTTAGATTTTCTCTACAAGAAAATCCTCATGAAGAACATCTGCCAATCAGTTCCTGTCCATAGGTTTATTTGTGCTTGAGTTATGCTGTAGGTAAATGATCCACATAACATCAAGTCCAAAACAAAAGAAGAAGAAGTACTTGACCGAAGCCCATTGAGCACTTCCTATCTACATTAGTGATTGTTGTGTTGGCTTGCTGTGGTGAATTTCCTAGTTAGCACTAGCTACAGTTGGGCTAACTATCGCTGAGATCAAGAATTGAAATCGCAGCAAAACTAATTTTCTATGTCACACAAATCTTGGTTGTTTTATAGCGTTGTGAGCATGCAGCCAGTGAACCATGAGATCTCCCGTCTATCTTTATGATTGGACGCTGCACTACACCTGTGCCTCATGTAGACTTCGCCTGCTAAGCTAATCTCCACTGCCAGCCGTGGTCAACTCGGAGCAGGATACGGATATAAACAGATATACAGAGACAGTTAATCGCTCGGATCAAATGCAACAGGTCACGCAGCACAAATCAGCGGCTCGTTTGTGTTTGTGACATGCAGAGATTTAACTATGTCAGGTAATGCAGCTTGGAAGAATACATTAAGTCTGGGTTTGATGAGGTTATGTTTGAACCTATTGGATTATTTCAGTGGTGTTTATTTTTTATTTTTTGTGCTTTATTTTTAGATTTAGCATCACTTTTACTGTCACAAAGAAGACTTGTAGTCCTAAATGTAGCATAAATGCTGTTTTTACTTAGTTTTAGAAATCAAACTGCTTTTGCTTTACAACAAATGCATTGTCAGAATAGCTAAAATGTAACTGTAACCAATGACAACGGAGGTGAAGCGAGATATGAATCCACTGTATTAAAATTATACGATATTTCTTATTCCTGTACAGAACTGTTGGTGTTGTGTTATTCCTTAATGCAGACAACATTTTCACACAGTTATTGGGCACAGAGATGGATTACATCAGCCCAAACAAACTTTGTTTTTCATCCATTTCCTCTCTGTGTCTCCACAGAAACCTGCTGGACATGGACACCTTCTCCAAATCAGACCCAAGTAAGAAACATGATGTCCAAACATCCATCAGACTCAAAACTCTTTAGACGGTCATGTGGAAAAGACAACACTGTTATTTTCTGGATAGAGGTTTTTATCACATATTAAAATAAGACTCAGGAAATTAGTTAAAATGGACAGTAATGAATTTAGAATGATTGCTAAATTAATGGATCAAATTTATTGTTGAACAAAACAATATCCCTTTTAAAAGAAAAAAAAAGAAACAAAAGAAAACAAACAAAATGACTAAAAATGAAACCCCACGCCAGAAACGCCCACTCACAATACTATCGTGAAATCTTCATTAAAATGAAACTGTCTTGTCTGGGCAAAACTTTGCTTTTGTCATTTTCTAGAGAAAAGCAAATTTGGTTTAGAAAAATCTTACATTTTTCTTTTTATCAACATTCTTAAACAAGAAAGTCTAATAATAATGCTTAACAGGTGGATTGTTTTTGTTTTTTTGAAATGGATCATTTTTATCTTTGATTTTCTGCATGACATCTTAATGAGTACAAGCTTTTAAAAAAAAAAAAAAAGCCTGTGATTTTCTCTGGGATCAGTGAATTGACTGAAACGATCATTTGAAAATCCACCTCTGTTGAGTTGGAGCTTTGAATTTGACCACAAATTAAATTAAATTGGCCATTATAGCTACACTCCACTGACTAAATTGGCTATTAAGTAATTTCCAGTTTAGGTGGAACTGGTACTGTAACTGTAAATGACAGAGTAATGCATTTAACTTTATTAAGTAGCCCTACTTTATCATTAAAGTTGGACTTGGCCAGGATATTTCATACTCTTCCTGTCATTTCCATTTCGCGTTTGTGTCCAACAGTCTAAGACCACACCAGAAAAAAAGTTATTGCATGATGAACAAGTTGTCAGCACATTTCCAAGAGAACGCGATGGAAGGAGTGAATCACTGTGGCGATGATGATGATGATGACAGTGATGAGACGAGTGCCGGGATGACGGTGATTGTATGAGGGAGTAGTAGAGGACAGGCTTTAACTATATGTTCAGGTAGTTCTTGTGATCTTGTGATTCCTCTGAGCAATACTTTAATCCCTTAATTTGAACCTGACTGATGTAGGAAGGAGCCAGAAGGCGAAGAAGCGAAGGGAAAGTATTAAAGTTGGCAGAAATGCATAGATAACCGGGGTATGTGACCTGGTAATAAAAAATATCAGCGATACAAATCAAACGGCTCCAGCTTTCTGATGAAATTTTAAAAAAAAAAGTCTAAGTTTTTCAAATCCATGGAACATGTTCTGCTTCAGTAATCCAGTGTTATTATTCTATAATTAGCTACACATCCTGTAAATATAGATGTTTGCATTGACTGATAACGTTGGACGTTTGTCTTCTTTACAGTTTGTGTTCTCTACACGCAAGGCATGGGCAACAAGGAATGGAGAGAGGTCAGTACCTTTCTTCATAGCAACACCACGGCATCTTCTTTGTTTTGGTTTTCAAGGCCATGAATATGTCAATACGACAATAAAGTTTCGTCTTTCATATAGAATAAATTGGCAAAGGAGGGCTTCCTATTAGCAAGGAGAAATAAATGGAGTACACGTTTTTAGCAGCAGCTGAAGCTCCGTTGCTGACTTTGTCCGGGAAAGAGACGCAGCTAAACACTCAGAGCTCTTTATGTGATGAAGAAAAACTGAGACGTCATATAGTACTTTCCATGAGAAAGAAAAAAACTGAGAACACAGAGCTGATGGAACCAATTGTTCCCGTTTTTCCCTGATGGTGGCAAGACATTTTGGGAAGACACCTGTGTGAACAATCAGTCAGCTTGATTCTCCGTGATTAAAAAAAACAAAAAAAACAGACCGTTTCCCGGTCTACAGTAGGTATTTTCCTCATCATAGCTACTCTATAAAACCTGAACTGTCCCTTTAAGACGTGAACAGTTGGGGGTGGGAGAGAGGGAAACATTAAATGTCATTAAAATATCATATTGAAATGCAAACGTTACTCTTTTTAGCCGCACGGGTCACATTAGTCAAGGCTCTTCTAATGTGCTTAAGCTCTTATTTACTTTAGGCTACGCATGCTCTCATTAGACAAACACTTATCACTTAAACTGATTAAAAGCAACGTGCATTCATATTTAACTAGAAATAGCACATCAGGTCAATGTATTCACCAGCCTAATTTGTCTCTCTGTTGGCGTCACATTTGCATTAATTTTTATTTACCGTCTAAGCTGATATCTGTGAAAACGACAGATGGTCACTTGTCAGCGAACCAACCAGAGACACAGGTGGAGGACTTATTTTAGGTTTTAATGAAAGTCCTAATTATGCCTGTCATTGCTCTTTTTAATTGATAAACACCGTCGACAGCATCTTTGAGAGCATGTTTTCTGAACTGCAGTCACCAGAGAGGTTTTTTTTTTTTTTTTTCTCCACATGAATATTCACGAATGTAAATGAGAGTTCAAATTCCCACCGCCCCAATCATTCCCGGTTCTTCAGAATTCCGAGTGCCCCTTCATCTGCTTGCTCTATCAACAGGCGGAGTTAAATGTCAAACACTGACCTGCCTGACCCCCATTGACTGGATGCTTAAGCTGCTCTGCATTCATTACGCCATAGCTGTACATAATCTTCCGTAACCAGCGCCTCCCCTGATGCGTCTCCAGAGAAACAGGCTGCAGGTGACGAGATACTTTACACGAGTCACCGCAACTTCGTGGAGAGCCTGGAAAAGCCGCTTTTATTTGAACGGAGAAATCTCCGAATTGTTGCACGAAGATAAAGTGACATCTTATAGATTCTCTGAAGGCAGGGTGGCGAACGGAAATGGTTGAGAAAAGCAGCGGAGATGAGGAACGTTCGGACCCTTGAGTTTTCTCCCGACTGTTCTCTCAACATCCCTCTCATCTTTGCTCTTAACTTCCAGTTTGGGAGAACGGAGGTGATTGACAACACGCTAAACCCAGACTTCGTGAGGAAATTCATGCTGGACTACTTCTTTGAAGAGCGACAGAATCTCAGATTTGACTTGTGAGTACAACTTCCTGTGTTTGCTTAACTTTTTTATTATTTATTTAATTTTGTCTGGTTTTCTTTGCTTTCTGCAGCGACAAGTAAAAGTTTTTGCTCCCCACATTTTGTCATATTTTAGCCACTTGCAATATATTTTTGTACAATTTTGTGCGATTGGATAAGAAAAATGCGAGTAAATGTTCTGCAAACATCACTTTGAAAGTCTTGCCGCCGATTTTCAGTTGGATTCAGAATCAGGCCCAGACTTTGACTAGGCCATTCCACCACATAACCTTTTGATTGCATCTCTGGCTTTACGTTGGTGACATTTTCCTCCTGTGAGGTGAACTTTTTCTTCCAGTTTGAAGTCTGTCATGTTTCTTCTTGCCCTCCGTGTTGTCCCATCAATTCTGACTGAGATCTGATTTGAGATTTCTTTTGTTAAAATTGGAGACATTGTGTTTTACTTCTTGATCTGTCAAAGAAGAAATGTATAAATGCCTCTCAGACCAGGAACTACAGCCTCTTAAAATGCCTTCATTTGCTCTGAAGCTGAATTGGAAGTGGGACAGTTGTCGTTTTTAAACCCAAAAGTGAACTAACTGCTTTTAAAGGTCAGGATCAACTGATACAAGTATAAACAAAGCTGCACACCTGCAGAGTGGTTCCGCCCCAGAGTAAAAGGGTCAAGGTTCCTTCAGGGGAGACATTTGTCCCGCTGTCTTACTCAGTGCGACAGACGGTTGACTGATTCTTCTCTAATGGCACAACTTCCATGTTCACAATAGAATCTTTAGGCATCCACGGCAGCAGGAATTGTGCAAACCTTATCTGACCAAAAAAACAAAGCCACCACAGCAGTACAACAATGATGTTTGTGTCAGGTTTGACAGGGGGATTTCCTATTAGAGGCTGCCGTTGTAGACGTTTTACCACTGAAAGCTCACACACACTGAGGCAAACAGCATCATGTTTTCAGGAGTCTGATCTACATCCTTTCCCTATTTTGACCGTTGGATGCTCAAGAAACATCCTAAATGTTCACCAAAGCTCCACTCATGATGTCTCTACTGTCACGCTCTGTTTTTAGGCAGTTCCAGACAGGACGAATTGAATTATTTACATACAAATCACTGCTGTGCATGTTGAGCACATTCGGTTCAAATCAGACCTGTCCTTCCTGGATGCTTAACGTATTGTGAGTAGCTTGAGTTTAGGTGTAGTTTGAAAATAAAGTGCGCCCCTTTTCAATCGTGAAGCAGAGAGAATACCTAAAAGGAAAAACAACTACTACACTATATAAATAAAATTACCTTACCTACCTTACCTACACCTCCTCAGTATATAATCGTAAAAGTTATTTATTAACAGCAACAACTTCAGTCTGTCATGATGTTGTTGATGAATTTTGGTTTGGTGACCTATAAGAATTCAGTTGATTGAGGTTTCCAGACATCCATGAATATTTTTCCAGCCTTTCTGTTGTACAATTCCTGGTGTCTTCGAGGTTACCGTCCTGCTGCATTGACTCGGATCCAGTACATTTCTACTGGTTGGCAAACGGCCTTCCACTTGACTTTATATAGATTGCACTTCGACTATGAAACCTGTCTTTCTCGTCATTCCACAGATGTCATCAGTGTGAATCTACGTCATTTCCTTGTACTTCAGATTTACTGACTAGACCTTTTTGGTTGCACGAGGTGCAAACGTAGGAATCTGACATTTCGTTGGTCTTCCTTCGCATACCGATGGGGTTTTAAAGGTTTTCAACCTGCCAGCAGCGTCTCTAGGTGATGCCGTTTCTCGTTAATTACATGCAAATTACAGTTTCTCTTTTAAAATGAAAAGATTAATTAGATTATCTGTAAACCACAGAGGAGCGGCAACAGTTTTCACCATCATTGTGAAAGTTAGGCCGCGACGGCGAGGAGAGGCTGGGTCTAAGATGGTAGTAAGAAAAAAAAAAAAAAGGGAAGAAAATAAAATAAAACGCTTTGGGGGGAAAAATAGTTTGCGTGGGTGGAATGTTGTGAGAGAACGAAATATGACGAGCATCTGTGGAATGTCGGGTTCACACCTGGATCCTGGCAGCTCTGTAAGAGGTGACTGGACCATTTCCAATCACAACACTTAAAATATCCTGAGCCTTTTTGCTCAGGTGCTCGGCCAGACCAATGCAGGATCCCCACCTTGGCATTTCCACCGAGTCGCTCAGTCACGCTTCGTGCTCACATGTGCAGGAGATGTGTCACCCGGTCACATGCTGGACAGACTCATTCCAAGACGAAACCAAAAGTGATGTGTGCCTCTTGCGCTTCTCTCCCCACATGCGGTGCGGCCCAAGCCACAGTGTGGGTATTTGCGTGCCGGTTGTGTGCGGCCGTAGCAGGTAGCCATAACAACCGGGGGTTCGGGGGATGGTGGCTGGAGGTGTAGGGAATGACGGTTTTCCTTCTGGGGGAAAAAAAAGAGAAGCATTTAACCTTTCATATCGAATATGCTCCGGTGGACCACAACGAGTCACCAGTTAGTCTATTTACACACAGAAGAAGCACACGCTGCTACTACTTGCATTGTTGTGCATGAAAAAAAACAAAACAAAACATGGAGCTTGTCATGATATCCTCTCTCCAGAGAATCTAGTTTAGATTTGCTAGTAAGATCACACCAGTTTCCCTCAGAGTGATGTGCTCTGTCACAATGACAAATTTTGCAGGATTGTCCAGCAAAATATTGTAGTTTTCAGACCATTTTCAAGTAAATATAACAATGGGATAATAACGCAAGTTCGCCCTCTCAAACTTTAATTTTGCAAAGAACACTTAACACTGTAAGATATTTTAAATTTCCAAACCAAATATAATCAGGTTTTCTCGCATTACCACCTCAAACACATTTTTATTAGTATTGTTATATATTATGTGGAAAAAACCCAAAACATTTGTGGGTTTTGATAGTTTTTGCAAAGAAATGTATGTGAAGTTTTTTGGGGAATTGTAGTTTTACTGCATATTTCTTTTTATTAAAAGCAAATTAATCTTTTCCACAGTTGCCATGTGCACTCTCAGGATGAGGCATTGTTGCAGTTTCATTTAATTGAACTGGAATCTTGCTGTGCAGTGGTACTAATCTCATTATATATTGTTAAAGTGTTTAATAAATTGGGACTATGAAAATGAATCAAACTCAACTTGCTGGGCTTTCTTTCTATCTTTGAATGAATATATTTTCACCCGGTCGGCTGATTTAAAGAGCTGGTAATTATTAAAGCAGCATTCCAAATACAGTCATCTGAATATGAAGCGTCTCAGCTAAACTACACTTGAGAATCCTGACTGACAGACTCTCTTTAGAGGAGAACCTGACGGGCATGACGATCAGACACCTGAGGGATTAGAAAAATGGCTTTGAAGACAAGTCATAAGTTTCGAAATGCAAAGAACTGATTGTCATGTGATGGGAAAGGAACAGAGCGAATGGAAAATCAAGAAGATGAGCAAGTTGGTGCGGGCCCTATTAAAGCTCAATTTGGCTCCACAGCTAAGCCTGTAACAATAAGCAATAAATTAATCGCATGCTAAATTAAAAAGGGATTGATAAACTCCATGTGGGAGAGATGCCCCGCTTTACTATTGTTGAAAAGCCGGTGTTCTGAAAAATGCTGCAAACTAGCTGCCACTTTTGACCTGTTTTTCCTGTCAAACGCGAGTCATTAGTATTTTTTTTTTATTTTTATTTTTTTTTTGAAAAGCAGTTTTGGATACATAGACTTCATGATCCATTTCAATTATTGTTATTTTGTTTACTTATTTTGGGTATATAAAATGTTTTCCAGTTCCGGTGTCAAATGTTCTCTAGTTCTACATTTTTCAGAGGATGTACTTTGACATAATTAGTGTAGTAGCTGAAAATGGGCTCAAAATGTCATTATTATTGCTTATTGCATTAATTTCTGGGACAATTTGTTGTCCAGTAAAATGTGTTGCTGTGACTGACCTACCAACAACAAATGAGCTTCGTCCCGTTGCAGTGACACAGTTAGTTGGGTTAATGTTTGTCTGAACGGAGTTGATCATCTTCTAACCAAAGTTAGCTTTTTGTTGCTGTGAGAGAATAGGTCATGATAAGCATTCTCAGTGTGTGAAAAACAGGCTTTTATGTGACTGTGTGTGTGTGTGTGTGTGTGTTCACATGGGGCTCCTGTTTTGTTCGGTTTTCATCAGCAGCTGTATAAAGCTGCCACTGTCGGCCCGTCGAGGGCATCGTCGTCTGAGACGATGGCAGGTGAAAGATGGGCCCTGACAATGAGGCGAAAAGTGAAAACAAAGCGAAAAGTGACGATGGAGATCACTTTTCACTGATTTATTATGCAAAACTTTATGTCTTTACTTCTTAAATACACACTATGATGAAATGAAACGAAGCCTTTTTAGTAATATTGATATCCTCTGGGGGGGGTTTTCTCCCAAAAAATTTTTGTTACAGTTGCTGACATTTTTGTTAAAAAAAATTAGCGAAGTCATCTCACAAAGGTAGTTTTCATTAGTATTCATTCCCTTTTTGTCAATACTTTGTGGAAATAACTTAAAACTAAAAATATTGTTTTCTTAAATAAGAGGCCAAATATTTATTACCTTTTGGATCATAAAAGGCAGACTAGTGGTTTACATGGTCATTTTAACCAGCTCATCAACTTTATAATTGACGTTTCTGATCTGCTACTTGGTCTTCATGAGTTTTTGTTCACTTATGCCCTCTAACAAGTGAACAAAAACTCATGATTGCAGTAGGCTTTACTCAGTGTGATCTCAAATTTCAGATTTTTGTTTACAAAAAGTTTGGACAATGAACGAATCCCTACCCTCTCGTAATGCATTGAACTTGGTGGTTACAGTGGGTCAAAAGGTGAAAAAGCTTAAAACCTTTGCCCCGTACGGTAAACCCACTTATGGGAAAGCTACTTACGAATACAAAAGGCTTTAATAAATAAAACGCAAGGGCACTGCGCAAACTCCAGTTGACTGAGAGAACAAGGCAAGAAGCAAGACAGTAATTTAGAAAATCTGGCAATGAACCAAGAGGAAGAAAATGTAAGAAAAGCTGAAGGGATTAATGACGACAGAGACATGAGCAGTCTGAGAAATGTTTGGTGTCGAGCCCGGACATTGTGGAAAAAACCCAACAACTTCAAACTGAAAGTAAAAGTCAGTTGACTGGAACCCAGAATCTCTGAAAACCTATCTTGCTTTTTTTTTCGTCTTTCTTGCACACCACACTGCTGGAAACTGCAATATTTTTTGTTAAAATTATAGCAACAGTAAGCCAGCGGTCAGCCCTCGTAAATGGTTATTCATATCTCTGCGGAGGAAAGAGAAATCTCGTTCTTCAAGCTTTGTTTTTCATTTTCTGCCGATGAGCTGATCTGACTCGTGAATGATAGACAATGAGAGTAAATACTTTGTGTGTGATGAAACAGTCGGGAAGTGGAGAATCTCAAAACTCTACAACGACAAAAACATTCCTGAGAGACGCGTACAGTAAGAGGCTCCAACACTTTCCTGGTAGGTAGTGATGGATAACCTTCTCTACCTGTCTATAGAAGCTACAGTTGCATCAAAAATCCTATCATCACAAGTCTCATTTTCAGCTCTTCCATAACAAAAACCTAAAATCTATAAATCCAGGTTTTGGGACCTCAACCTTTACTAATAAACCAGTCCCCAGACTTGGTTGCGCAAGAGAAACCTTGTCCATACCGATTCAGATTTATAGTATCTGAACATTCTAGCCTTAAACATCCAGAACATTTTAAGAAAGTAACTAAATGGCTACTTATTTCCCTTAAGTATTAGCCTGCAAAGAGCGATCCATATTTAGAGCTGAGTGAAATGACCTGAGGTGTGAAATGATCTCAGATTGCTGAGTAAACGGTTTGTCTGATGACCTGCCGTTCCACAGAGCCTGGGGGAGCGTATCCAGACAAATGACTCCTGCAAATATTGTTTGTACGGGCTGGATGGAGCGATGTAGAGAGAAAAACGAGGCAAATCAGACACACTTACAAAAATAATGCACAATGTTTTGTAAAAGTGTTCACCCTGCACAAATCTGAACTGTATGGAAGAGTAGCAAAACTAAATATATTGTTTAATATATCCATGTAGAAGGCCCATCAAACATAAATAAAAGAAGGTTCTCTGGTCAGATGTAACTTTTAGCTCATAATTTAAAATCCCCTGAAAGGGTTGGATTGCTAGATGGTGGGGGTCCACCAGCGGCCCACGGTGTTTTTGTGATAGAAATTGTTCAAAGTTACAGAAATTCGGAGCTGCTTCAGCAGGCATAATCATTTGGAAATAGTAGCTTTTGAGGCCAACAGGCAGGAGCGATGCATCGACAATAAACCTAGCTTAATCCATCTTTACCGTCACTGTTACTGGGGTATAAGATTTTTTTCTTCAACCATTTTAATAGTTTTGTGTTTTCACAACCAAACAAAAGAACATAGATTTGTACATGATGCTGTTTTATCACATTGGATGAGTGGAGAAGAAAGGAAAAAAGAAAAACTGCCGCTGTACTATGTCGCACATTCATGTCATATGGTGTCTTCATTGGCCTTATGCCTTACGTAATATGTCGCCAAACATTGGCATTAAAATGTAATGCCCGACAACAAGACAATCAGAGCTAGCAGCTAATGAAAGACATGGTAAGACAGGAGGAGGATCTTCACTTGTTAAGACGTGGTGAGACTGAATACTTTTAGATTCTCTAAATAATTTTGATTGGAGGCCGAGGAGGAACAATCTTCAGTCACATCTGACCTTGACACAAAACAAGCCACTCAGCTTTTCGGACATTACACTGAAAAATCTTTTGATCGGAAATAGTGGTAATAAGATTCCGTATCATTCAGTATGAAAGGGGTTTTATGTAGACAGTGTAATATTTCATACTGTATCTCACTGAGTCTATTACATAAAAAAATCCAATTTAAGCCTGGCAGGGAGGGAAATAAAGACTGGCAGCCCACCAGGCCTGTAAAACACTGGAGGAAAAAAAAACTAAGAATGTTAATTGCTCTTAATGCGCCAGTGAAACATGGTGGTGGCAGCATCATACTGGGATTTTGTGTGACAAATTTGGAAAGCTGTAAGGCTTATAACTACTCTTGGCAACACAACAGGAGAATGACGGACTCATTAACGTCCCCATATCTTCATCTTTTCACAGTCCTGTGTGTGAATAACAGTTTATTTAGCGTCAGTTTAATGGGGAAGAGTTGTAACGCTGCACACTGGGATGCAGAGTACCCAGAGCTTACGGCGAAGTGTTCATTGACGAGCCGTTGGGTCCCGTTACTGATTTATCCTGTCTGTAATCAGCATCGGTCCCAGCTGAGATCCTGCCACTCTGCATCTATCAGGAACGTGCTGACCCTCCTTCTTCCTTTATTTCCACAGGTACGATGTTGACTCAAAGAGTGCCAACCTGCAGAAACACGTGAGTCCTTCTCTGGATCTTCCTTTCTCACTTTGTGCTTGTGTGTGTGTGTGTGTCTTCCTCCCATTTGGACCATTTTAGCAACGTAACAGCAATCTGGTCGTTACGACTGGGCTGATTGTCTGCTAAACTTGCACGGTCTCGGAGCAGGCTGTGGGTCATTTAGAAATTAAATTTGTCTACCCTGCTTCTTACCGTTGATGCCAGTGATTACAACAGCTGTAATTAGTAACAGCAGCGTCCTCGCAGGTAATAACAGCCATTACCCGCCCGCTGCTTTCAGGGCGTTCTAGTTCAAAGAACCGGAGGCAGCTTGGACGCTGAACTGTCATGTTTATTTTCCATTGGGTGAGGAAAGTCTTTTCTATTTTTCTGGATAAATACTCTAAGTTATCGCATGCAACTTATGTAGGTATGATTTGATTAGACGTAATTCCCACTAAGGAGTCACAAAAGACTGATACAAAGCAATTAGAAAGCTCAAGCTCATCCTAATTCATGGACATCTACGGTGCTGTGGCCAAATATTCCTACCCTCCCTTACAGTTAAAATGTTACATTAAACAAATGTTGATATCAAAGATAATTTTAGTAAATGTAAATCATGAAAAAGTATTTGCTGCCTAAGCCTAAGAACTGACTATAGCAATTCTTGTTGTGAAAACTGCTACCATGTGTTGAAGGGTTTTCAAGCATGAAAAACTTGTCTTTGGTCTGGTAATGCTATAAAGCATCTGATATGGATTTAACTCCATACTTTGACTTAAAGTCTGGACTTTGACTTGGCCAATTTGCAATTTTTCTTTATTGTTACATGTCTGCTAATCAGAGCTTTGGATCAATGTGCCAGTGCTTTCCCCAAACTCCTCTATCTCTGCGTTTGCAATATCACAGAACATTGTGGATATTTGCGAGTGCAGGCTAATAGGCTCAATGTGTCTCTCGATGTTGCCTCTTCGAAGGTACAGACAGCCAGTTTTGCTTTGCCCCAAGGCAACACACCACACAGCTCTCATCCTTTCTTGCTTTTAAGTGTCCGGGCCCGCCACGCTGCCCACATAACACATGAGATGGATGCTCAGGTGTGACTGTTGCCTGCTTTTAGAAAGTGTGGATTATTGGAGGAGACATAAAATAAAGCTGAGAAAAAGGGAGGAGATCACAGTCTAGCCTGCAGCTCTGCGTTGTGTATTTTAGGAAAACCAAGTCGCTTTTATGAAATCTTGTTTATTTGATAAAGACCAAAACTTGAGTGCAGACATTTGATCATTTCACTAACATCCACAAGTTGCGGTCGAGTCTGCTGCATGTTGTGCATGCATTTTCATATTCATTTGGGGCTTTCTGTGTTTTTATACATACAGTTAATTTTTAATTCTTTTTCTTTTTGGTAGCCCAGACAACCACAGGCTTATGACGGACTTCACAAAGTCCGCACATTCTCTGAAAGTCGACAGTATTCTGAGACGTGGCTTTTGAAGTATTCACCTGCCTTAAATGCAGAAATATTTATGACTGTGTTTGCATCAAGAATTGCATGACAATTAAAAGAGTTTTCATCACCTTAAGCCAGGATGATGCAGGTTTTCCTCTCTGCAGGTTGCTATATTGCACCATCATATGTCTTCAGTAGCAGGAATCCACAAGGGGGCTTTCATATTGGTTAGCTTTGTTTTATGGGCTTAGAGGTTTCTCTTCCACTTTGAGGCAATCTGTCACTGTCCTGCTGCTACACATAGATGTTTTTAAAAAGAGGTGAATTGGGTGTATGGTGAAGGGCTTTTGTCGGATAAATGTGACTTTGAATAAACTAAAAATCATATTATGTTATTCTGGAATTGAAAAAAACACAAAGAGGTCAATCAGGACAGAGTAATGGATTTGATGATATGCAGATGACATCCTGGCTTCTTTGGTTTAAATGTAATAGACAAGAAAAGTAAAGAACTAAATACAGAGTTTACCGGAAACAACAAATTAAAAAAATTGCTTTAGTGGACGTTTAAAACTGGGTTAGTTCACTCCTTACAGCAGGACAACAACCCCACTGCCACAACACTTTTCAGATTTATTCACTTCTCTGTTGGTTTACCTCATAATCCCCTCACAACCACAAACATACGTCAGTGTGCGTGCCCAAATATGAAAAGCGATTTAATAGATTGCATGGTGATGCTGTAAATCCCCACCACTTAGCGATATCGGAATGTTTCCTCATAACTTGGCCTTTTGTAAACCTTTTTTTCCCTCTCTGTTCTCGTTTATTTCTTTAGTCTTACCCATTTGGCGATCTTCTCTCTTCCCTTGCTCGTTTTGCCTCGCTGGTCTAAAATCAATAACCTCATATAAGTGGAGACACGAACATTGACTCAGAGGCAGCTTACCGTCTTTACAGCCTTGATGCAGATCCCAGAGGGAAAGCCAGGGAGCTTTAGATGGTGTGTTTTATCTTAGGAAGTACAGTCTGCGGGGCTGTCTCAGTCATAACTGTGTGAGAACTAGTCTGATATCCACATGAAGGAAATGAAACATGCTGCGCTGATTGAAACATAGTTTGCACCCATGATTGAAGATGGATATGAAATACAAGCAGATCCTCTGTTGGTTGCAGAGTTTCAATACTTTATTCTGATGTTTTTCTCTGGTAGTCATTACTAGTGTGTTCTGACTTTTCGTTGCACCTTTATTTCATCGAGAGAAACATAATGTTTTCTCCTAGAAATCCTGACCGTCTCGTTCTGTAGCCTCCTGGTTTGGGTTTTGCTGCCTTCAGACCGGCGAGGTGCCTTCTGCGCTAACAGACTGCAAGTTAGAAATCATAGACTGCAGATGGCTATGTTGATCCGTGTCGTGACCTCTGAGATTTGCAAGCTGGAGGCGAATGCACTACTTGAACTTGGTACGCTCACCATATTCGCAGCACTGAACAAGGAAAGCCAGTTGCTGTGAAAAACCAGATGGAACAGCTCAACAGCGAAGCTGCTGAACGTACCAGTATTATTTTTTTTTAAATCTGTCCCAAAGTGCTGTGATCTTAAATATTAACAATGTATACAAAAAATATATTACTATTAGAGAAAGTTGGGACCATCTAAAGAACTCCACAGGATGTTTTTTTTTATTCATCCCCTGACTTATACTTTAGATGTTTTCTTTTGTCTTCATGCTGCTAATAGTAGCCAGGAATACTGATTAACCAATGGATCAATGTTCTAAACACCAAAATTTTTATGTAAGGATCACTTGAGACACACTCAGATGATCTCTGGTCCACACATTGTGACACTACTAACACCATTTGGCTGGATCTTTGTTGTTGATGTAGGTTTTATTTGTCACTTTTGTAGGAACCAATTTTCAGTTTGACATTTCAGATTGTTTTTTTTTTTTTTGTCCAAGACGCCAAAAAGTGTTGATCATGGTGAATCGATAAAAGCAATAAAAATAGAAAAACATCTGTGAACAAATCAGTAACATTTCTAAATAATTACGTTTTAATTTCTTATAGCTATGAAATAGATTGGTACAAATGTAAAATGTTGTTTTTCAAAGCTTAACTGACAGATGCAAGTACTTTAGAGAAACATGGTCTCTAAGTTAAAGGTGGTACTTTCTACCAAAGTTACTTTATTTGTTCGTACAAGTTTTTCTTCTTTTTTTTTTCATGTTGCAGTGTTCATTCTTTTGAACTTTCTTTGCTTTATATATCAGTGTTATGTAGATGATTGGAGTTGAAATAGCTTTTCTTTTAACTTTATTTCCCCAACCAGTTTCTGCTATTTGTTGTAATTAGCCATTATCAGCACACAGCCGGTCCTCTGATGGACCCCCTGCTGGCAGCTGCCGCGGTTCTTTTGCGGCTTGTTATTTTCTCTTCAAAGACAGAAGGGAAAAAATATCATAAAACACATTTGCAGATGTGTTTTTATTTTATCTAGAAAATGTAAGAAATTGTTCTTCTGATGATAGATATCCAAAAATAAAATAAAAAAGCTGAGAGGAGATGCTAATGAGTATAGCAAATGAGACCATTATGTTGGTTTTGCTCAGAGCTGTTCTGAGCTAAAATTAGACGCGTTTCACTAAAATGACAAATGGCTTCACCTCTTGGTTTAAGAAAGAGAAATGAGACAATTTTGCATTTTAAAACTTTTGATTCCATGAAAGCCACAAATGTGAAATTAAGATAAGACTCCTAAATATATATATGGCACAATGTCCATATTTATATTTGGTACGGTACTGGGTACGTTTCCATAAATTAGAATGTAGAACTAGAGAAGAAAATTTATGTCAGTAGTTCAGTTCAGAAAGTGCATCTCATACCATATCTGGTTTCATTACACAGTGAGTGATATTGTTATGTCATTTGTTTTTATAATAGTTATTCAACACACAGTTATTGATGCTCTATTTAGGGAAAGCAGCAAAACTCGGGCGCTGAGAGTGAACCAGAAAGTTGAGTGGAAGGAAAAAATGTACCAAAAGAGGGGCATTGTATCCTAAAATCCATTTAAGATTTGTTTTTTAATTTTTGTGCTGAATTGTTGAAATAACATTTTTAATTTCTGATAAAATGCCATCTGTGTTTGCATGTTTGTGCGATTCATGTCAATAATATTCACTTGCTCTTTGATTCCACAGGACTTCCTGGGCCAGGCCTACTGCACCCTGGGAGAGGTGGTTGGATCGCTGGGCAGTCGCTTGGAAAAGCCTCTTGGGTGAGTCGATTTAGCAGGAAACGTCAACACCAGTTCTAGTCTCACCATAGGTGATTGATGGTTACTGTATGCAACATCAGAAGAGTCTGTCAATCACACTTTACCTGTGAAAGAAGAAAACCTCCAAAGCATATTGGATTTCATCCCAGCTTTCATTCTTACTTGGCAGCAGAATGTACATGTTCATTCGCTTTAATGTTCGACACAAAGAACAACAAGGTGACTCGTTGAGAGGAGTTCATCCGTGATTCCATCGTCAGTGTGATGAGAAAGTGGCTGGAAATGTTCCTGTTTTATCAGGGACATAGACCTTTTTCGAGATCTAGTTTGTGCACATTAATTTCTGCGAGAAGAACACCGAGTTCTGATGATGTTCTATAATTGGACTTTTTTTTCAGCGCGTTGTGTTCTTGGCTGCTGTTTCTGGGGAAACTGACGTAAAAAGTGCAGAGTTACAGAAGCTGCTAATTAAAAATATGCACTTGCATACACATACTTGATACAAATATAGATGTTTTTTTTTATTTTCTTTTTTGCAATCAAAACTGAACACTTATTGTTTTAGTGGCACTTACTTTGCGTCCTGTGCTGGTATCAGATTCTTATGGTGCTAAATGCCCTTTTTTGTACATTAATGTTCTAAACTTTAATGTTAATAAAAAGCATTCAGTCAATATATGGAGTTTCAGTGCTGCTACATTGTGGAACTAATCATCATTAATTATGGAATCGGAAGAAGTAAATCAAATTGTAATTAAATGCAATCAGTGTGATTGTGCTGAATTGTATACACAGATTTAAAATTTGATTCTGATTGGATTCATCAGTTTCAAGTCAATGTTCACAGAATTGGACTAAAGTATTAAATTCTGTGAAATAAGAATAAAGTGTGTTGGAAGCTGTTAAATGTACATATAATTGTAGGGAATTAAATTTGGATGGAATCTATGTTCAATTTAACCGTCTTGAAGTAAAATGTTTTCAGCTAGATTAAATGTAAAATGTAACACAACTTAATATGAGGCGATAAAATGTTAGTTTTTAATGTGACCTTATTGATTTAAATGTCATTTTATATAGGGTGATTTCTAACAGATTAGATGAGAAGGAAAAGACATTCAACTTGAAATTTGTGTAAATGATGCAGAACCTTTTTAAATGATTAAACTTACATGCCATGTATTGCATAAGCAGTTTATGTTGACACACAGAAATGTAATGACAGCTACAACTGATGTTAGCTAAGAACAGTCATATGCTAACGAGCATCAAGGACTTTCATTTTACTAATCTCTCATTTCGGACAGCAATTAGTCTTTCTTCATTCTACAAAGTTGGCTCCTAAAGGCAGAGGGTTGTCTGCACAATCTCTTCTAATCAAACATGTGAAGCTCAAGGCTTGTGAGATCATTTTAATATCTGTTATTAATCGTCTGCCATTATGTTGGTTATGGAACTCATTTCCCATAATGCACCGCAACAGCGAGTCAAAATGAAATTGCACAAGCTTGTGAGAGAGTGAGATGCACCATGGAAACTTCTGGCACTTCCTGCGTCACGGTGACCTCTGGTACATCAAGCTTAATAAGGTTATTCGAAGCTGGAAATTGAAGGAAAATCTCCCATCAAGTACCATCCCATGCTGATGGTACTTGATGTAAACACATTCATGGAGAAGTAAATTATTTTACCCTTCACTCTGGAGAGCAGACTTCAACTCCTCGTTGTTTGTAATTTGTCTGAGTGTGTTGTCAGAGAATCTTTGTTTTTGATTACTGACAAACAAAACGCTAAATGAGCTTCATCAGGAGTAATTTGCTCTCATCTAGAAATTGCCTTTGTTTTAATTTGAGCTTATTTGAGCTTAGTTGCTCACTTAAAGCTTAGAGTTGATCGTAACTTCGTTTTGCTGAAGGAGTTACAGGTTCAGAGTGCAACATGTGGCGTCCCTGATGGATGCTTCCAGCAAACCTCTCTCCTCCTCACAATCAATCATAATTTATGACGCTGAATTAGTAAAACAAAGGAGGGGCTTAAAACGTAAACTTAAAATTGTGCACACCTTTTTTGTTGGACTTTTCCAAAGTTATCATGAGCATCTTGACTGCTTCTTTAATGTTCCTCTTGTTAATTTGGTGACATCTGACGGCAATTCAGCAAGACTTTATTTAGAGCTGTTAGAGTAAAGGAAGGAAGCACACTTTTTGTTTTTTGTTTGTAAAATAAACTACTCATCTTTCTCATTTCATTTCACAATTATATGAGTTTATCAGTGGCATGAAATCCAACAACCAATTTCAGACATTCAACAAACATCTTAAACTGCCTTACAGTAAGAGAATCAAACATATGAAATGTGTTTTTAGCATGCATGGCTTGATTTTTTTTTAATTTTTTTTTTATGCAGGCCATTTTTGCTTTGGAGTTGAAGATGTCACCCAGCATTAATGCAGTTTATGGTTGGCCAGAGAATTAAAGTGGCTTTTCAAAAATGTTGGCTTCAATATTACGCCTCATTTCTATTTAAAATTCAGATTTTGATATCTTATTGCATTCATCTTATCTTCTTTTGTTCCAATTTAGCTGTCTGCTACTACTGACTGCTTTTGTTTCTCCAAAAACCCTGCTAATCGTGCTATGTATGACAGTCTTATAATTATGCATCTTGACAGGGAGGCAAAGTACGAAAAAGTAAAATATCAAAGTCGGAAACATTTACGTTGCGTTTCTCATGTCACTTACTGCTGGTGAGAGAGAGAGAGAAAAAAACTGAATCAAATGAGTTTATTAAATTCAAGTTTGATTTGTGCAGAAACAGAAGAAACTGAGACACGGAGCCCAACAGCTGTTGCAGTTGTCATTTCACAGGCATCGTGTCTGTATAGACGTGTCTGTTAGACTTCTGCAGACGCTCACCTGCAGCCAGAGTCACAGGGGGAGGCTCTTTAACAATTTTAATAAGGGCTAATTATAACTAATTACATTGTTCAATCAAAATCCAGTAGGGCTTGAGGTGTGTGTGTGAGAGAGAGAGAGAGAGAGAGAAAGAGACCAACGGAAGACAAAAGACAGGACACACTGGGTGAAGTGTCTCGCTGCACTCTGCTGCCAACGCATGACAACTGTTAGTGAAACCACCATAGTTTGAGGGTTTTTACACAAAAATGTCAAACCTAAATGAATCAAATTTATTTCAAACAGAAATGCTACCGATTCCTATTTCAAACAGAAATGCTACTACATTTAAAAAATTAAAATCTGACATTAATTTGAGTTTTTGATTTACTAATAGTCAGGTTATCTGCTCAGGTGGCCAGTGACATTGTTGCTCAAATATTGTTTAAAAAAAGACCCAAAAAGTACATTAATTAATCTTAATTCAACACTACGCACATGCTCTGTCCGCGCTGGTGAAGGTGTATTCACTTTAAAATGCACAAAATGACTCCATCTGTAACTAAACTGATAGTTATATGAACACCTTTGACAGTTAGTGTTTAAAGAGCAGTAAACTTTATTAGCATATCTTTAAAAAAATTTTTAAAAGCTCTAGAAAAGAGCTACAACCTTTCTACAAAAGTTGAAAAGTTAGTTGTATTGTGTCAATGTATGTTGTTGACGCAATACAATTCGTTCTACGTTTTACAATCCTCAGCAATATCAACAGTCACATGTCAAAAACGTGACGGAATTTGATTTTTCACCAAATGTGCTACATTTCTTCACTTTAGACTCAAACTGCCTTTTTAATGACGACACACTTGCTTCGTGGTCTCAGATTTTCCGTTGCTGTGACATTTTGACCGTGAGTTTATTTTTGTTGTTGATCGCAGGCAGATATAAAAGGACGGTCTTTAAAAAAAATAAGAAAGAAAGCCCATATCTCTGCTTTGCCCCAAAAAAAAAAAAAAATGCAAAAGGTAAAAACAGGTGTAAGTCCATCGCAGCAGCAGCATAAGACGCCACCTGACTCTGAAACGCTGCCAGGAACGACTCCACCAGTAGGGAAGCCAGAAGTCGGGGCCATGTGCCCTGCTGTGTCAGCCACTTCAAACATTTGGCAGGCCACCCATGTAATTTCACATCAGTGCAGACAGACTGTTTGATACCATTGCAGGAGATTGTCTAATGTTTCTCCAGGGCTGTTGCAACAGGCGACTAATCTGTATCTGATCGTCTGATTCTTTTTAAATAAGAGGTGGTGCTCATTTTGTGCCCTTGCAGTGTTCGTCATTTCACACACAACTTTTTGTGACACTAATTTGTACCTTCTGCCGCAGAACATTTCCCGTCAACCATGGTTCAGCTCGTACTCACCAGGGTCACATTTTGTACGTGCTTTGACAACTTAGGATTCAAAGTAACTTCCTGCATTCTACTAAAAGTATTCAAAAGGGAAAGCAATTATGTCTGTCGGTGTTAGATCACTTTATTCTTGTGATATAAGAATTTCACAAGTCAACTAGATCAAAGAGTTATCAGAAACAAGCTAAAAGGGAATTTAGGGCTTGCACATACTTCATTCAAAGTGCTCAAATTGGCTCTCGTTGATTTAGACAAAATTTGCATCATTTTGTTTGCAGATAGACGTCCACCTCTACTTCTGGCGACACAAGATGGTAAATGTATTTCACCCAGAACTCTGCATAATAGGTCAGAAGTTTGTTGCCCCTTTTTTATGCAGAAATGCACTCCAAAAGACTTGTTGATATTTTGCTTAGCTTTCGTTATCCGTTTTTTTTTTTTGTTTGTTTTTTTTGTATCTACTGGAGACATGAACATCTCTGATACCCGTCTGACGTGGCAACAAATTACATGCATTTGTATATATAATTATAAGACTGTCAAATGGCTACGAACTCCTGGATGGAAATTGTAACATCGTCGTCCATGGAGGAGGTCATCTGCAGAAGAGTGTGGCGCTCTCTCTCTCTCTTTGACTCTGAGGGAGGAGGAACAGCAATGGGTTGTGATGTGTTCAGATGAAGTACGTGGCATTA